TTTTAATTGTTCACCCACTGTGGACAAATTGTTTCTGTTCCAGGGCACAGCACTGAGGAGTTGTTAGGAGCTGTAGGACTGCAAGCCAAGAGCTTCAATCAAGCTCCCATCTCTACTACCCCTCCCTCCCCACCCCCACTTAGTGTGCCAGCTGCTTGAGTGCTCGGTTACAGGAAAAACCTCTGTTAAGTCATGGCAATGGAAATGAACTCACTTGGATGCCACAGGACTGCTGCTGCTGCGTTACATTCTCCAATTTCCTCTCCCTGCATGCAGATCTTCACATTTTTAGGCTGATTCTCCCCTCTCACTGCTTGCCTTCCCCAGTTCTCTCAGCTCCACTCCCTTCCAGCCCCTCAGCAAGCTGAGTCCATCCCCCTCTGGGTTTTATTTCCCGCCCCCAGTTTTGATGCTGCCTGTAACTGTGATCGCAGCTGAGTTCAGCTGTAGAAAGACTTTAGGCAAGACATGATGCAGCTATGGAAGAGGCAGAGAAGAGCTTGGGATTCTTAATTTAATTGGAAACCTTACAAGGGAGTCCTGGATGGTGCTACAACCAGGAGGAGGAGGCAGCATCACTGCTTAGAGACAGACAGACAGACATTTCTCCACTGGGATGGTAGCAGCCCTGTGGGAAATGCTTAGTGGCTTAGTTGCAGTGATAAAAACATGAAGCGAGTGTCATTAGGATGGTCTATAAGGGATGAGCCATAAGAGATAAACACAGTCGCTTTAGGGAGAGAAGACAAAAACCAGCTGTTGAAGGTTGCAGCAGATGAGGACAATCAATGCAGGCAGCAGGTTCCTGCTGTCCCTCTCGCCCCCACCAGCTTCACAAATCAGCACCAGGGCTGGACACAGGCATGGGCAAACTGGGCAGCCGCCTGGGGCTCAGACAGAAAGGGGGCCCCAAAACGGTAATTTTAAAATTATTATCATCATTATCTCTGGTGAAGGGGGGCCCGATATTAAAGTTTGCCCAGGGCCACCAAGAGTCTAGGTACCATGCTGACCAACACATGTTCATCCCACTCATGAGGACACTGCTCCAGTCAGCCACTTCTGGGGGGAACACAGATGCTGTTTTATTGCAGCCAGGAACTCTAAGCCAAATACAGGATAGCAGTGAGTGAAACATGAAGCAAGCATCCCTTGGACCATTCAGAAGGGCTGAACCCTACTGGATAAACACAACTGCCTTGTGGAGCACAGATAAATACAACCAGGGCCACAAAACTGGTGTTAACACCCTATCTTCTACTAACAAAGGTTAATCTTTAAGAAATGCAAGGAAGCAGGACCCTGCATTCAGGCTCCACTCACACAGCTCGGGGGTGGGGGTCATTCATTGCGGACTATCAGGAAAGAGGGCCCCTACAATGGCCAACACTGCTCCTTCTAGCTCAAGCAAGTTAAAAGCAGTACAGCACAGCAGTTGTCGGGAGGCTAGTCACGTGGAAGGAAGATAGGCTGCTGTCCCAGGAGCTTTTGCTTGCAAAATGAATGCCTCTTGGCTCAGCTGAGACACAGTCACGTGTTTAAGAACTGGCTGAAGGACTGTAAACAAAGGACCACAACAAACAGCGGTGTAGCAACCCACTGGGGGTGTCCAACGGGACCAGTAGAAGGCTGGGGGCTTTCTGAACAGCGCAGCTCATGAGATGGAGGAGAAGCCAAACAGCACATTCGATTAAATTCCCAGACTATGGGGTGGGGAGGGCCTGCCAGTGCCAGAGGGGTGAGGGGGCTTGGAGGACAGCATGGCTGAGCCATGGCAATACAAGTTGGTGCTATTAGCCCAAGAGCCAGCCAAGCTTATTCACCCTGGAAAAATGAACGAGAAGCAGATACTCAGTGACAAGGGAGAGAGCTGGGAAATGCAGCAGGAGGGAGGAGGGATAAGGAAAGTGGGCAGCAAATTACACAGGGGCCCGAACCTGAACAGCACAACAAGATTACCCAAGGGCCCACGGGACTGCTTACACAAAAGCCTGCTCCAGAGGCTCCGTTGGATGCAGAGCTTGCCAAACCTGGCCTAGGATACTGCCATCAGCCCTGAGCAAGGTGGTGACAGCAGGAGATGGACAACCCGGGGGGGGCGGGATAGGGATTTTGTACCCACCACATCCATGGGTGTGTGTGGGGGTGGGGAGCTTTCAGTGGGTTCTGGAACAGGGCCTTAGAGAGCAACTAAAGGGGAAACTGGGATCAGTCTGCTCGAAATGCAGATTGATGCAGAGAGGAACAGCAGGGAGACAGGAATCACCAAGAAATGATGGAGTGAGATGACAGGGAGAGGCTGGGAGTCAGGAATGGCTTTTCTGATGAAGATCCAGGAAGGCAGGGGACAAGGAAAACTCAGGGGAAGGGCTGGGACCTCAGTACAATGGACTCTTAAAACTAGATGGGATGGAGGACCAGAAAAAAGTGCTGTCAGGAATAAGTGAGCAGGTCTCCCTCAACCCCTCAGAGGGACAGCAATTGGCAGAGATTAGCCATTTAACCCAACCCCAAATCAAAAGACTAGTCTCTTCCCTTCCCCACACAAAACATTACCACAGCCAGCAGTAACTCATCATATGGAATGGGCCAGGGGGATCCAGCGCCGCTCTAGAGAAAGGTCTCTCCCACATATAGCTGGGGCACAGCAAAGGCAGGGAACAGTGTTTGTGGAAAGCTTTCCATGCCTGTCTGCTGTAGCTGGTCTGTGGATCAGAACTGACAATGCAGCTAGTCCAGGGGTGGGCAATTATTTCGGGTGGAGGGCCACTCACTGAGTTTTGGCAAGCCATCGAGGGCCGCATGACAGGCCACCAGGGGCAGATAAATATTAATTTTCTAAATTTTTTAGGGGCCCTGCGGGCCAGATGTAGTGGCCTGGTGGGACGCATCTGGTCCACGGGCCGCATTTTGCCTACCCCTGAGCTAGTCCATCTTTGGTCACAGATGAGGATGGGAGTTGTGCCTGGTCAGAAGAGAGCAGAAAAAGCCAAAGGTGGTATGTGCACATGTGCGTGAATTCATCCCATGCCTAACAGCAGGGGATCACAAGGAGCTGCAGAGGCCACACATCCTGCAGACACAGTGCTAAGTTTCAGAAAGGAGACACAGGATGCATCCACATTGGCTATGTCTGAGAAACAAGTTCTGCCCACCTGATCCACCAGCCTTGATAATGGTGCAGCACCAATACCTGAAAAGCACTTGGCCCATTTAGCGGAGCACAACAGAGGCTGGGAGGGGAGACGACTGATCTGCATACATACACCAACAGATCAAGAACCATTTACACCATTGGACAAAGTTGGCATATGACCATGTGACAACAAACTGGCCAGCAATATGCCCAAACAGGAAAATAGCAGGAAGTTTCTCATTACCAATGCAATATAGTTTTCCCAGGATGGTTGTTCCCCATTCCCCCTAATTCTATGACGGAGCTCAATCAGTTAACAAACAGGATGCTTGGACATGGCTGCCCGACATACCAGGGGATGGGGCTTTTGATCTAGGAAGCTTCTCTCAAGCCTGTGTTTCTTTATAGCTCAGTGCTGACTGGGCACATCAAGAGTTTCTCCAGAGACTCACCCCCCACCTCTCCACATACCACATGCAGCTGCACACTAATTAGACTCTCTTAACTCAGCCAGGGGAGCAGGACTGAATGGCTGCTATTTTAGCTGATTAGCTACAGCCTGGACAACAAAAGGCCATGAAGGCAGGAAGGATCAGGAGCCAGAGGGTTTAGCTCAGTGCACCCGGCAGCCAGGTGTGCCCAAGGATCGAAGCCAAGGACTCCCAGGCATGTTACCTGTGCAGCCCAGCCTACTGCAGGCCCACTCCAGGTGTCCAAGCAGGGCTTCCCAAAGCTGGGTTCTGCACCTCCAGCTGCTAGTGATAGACAGGGCAGTTGCAAAGGTGCACTGGTGGTCAGGCTAAAAGCCAATTAAGAAACATGCTGGCAGATCTACTGGCTTACAGACCTGCCAAGCAATCCCACATGGCTCCCAAGAAAAGGAGGTGCAGAGTCTAGCTTGAATCCCTAACAATATCAGGTCATGGTGATGTCCCTATCTAATTCTAGAGGGAAATGAACTGGTGTGGGCAGGGGACTGAACCCTGCAAGTCAGACAGGCTCCAAAAGCTGGAGAAATTGGACAGCGACTCTAGAAAAATCTTGCAGTGATATATGGAGACTTTCACTTTTCCATTGTGGCCCCCACATCATAAATGACCAATAAAAGCATAAGAGATCTTCCACAGCACCTGCACGAAATGAGTTAGAACAGGGGTGGCAACTCATTTGGTCATTTGGGACTATGTCATGTTGCGTGTGGGGGCAGAAACTGAGCAGTGGAACAAGTCATGGCAACATTAATTGTAGAGTGGATCTGATTTAAATCAGTTTCATAGTTGGTAGGGTCAGAAGGGACCGAAGCTGATCATCTAGTCCGACCCCCTGCCATGAGCAGGAAAGGATGCTGGGGTCAAATGACCCCAGCTAGGTGGCTGTCTAGCCTCCTTTTGAAGACCCCCAGGGTAGGGGCAATCACTACTTCCCTTGGAAGTTGGTTCCAGCTCCTCGCCACCCTGAGAGTGAAGTAGTGCCTCCTGATGTCTAGCCTGAATCTACTCTCAGTCAACTTATGGTCGTTGTTCCTTGTTACCCCCGGTAGTGCTCGGGGGAACAGGGCCTCTCCCAATGCCTGCTGGTCCCCCTTGGCAAATTTACAGGCAGCCACCAGATCCCCTCTCAGCCTTCTCTTGTGGAGGCTGAACAGGTTCAGGTCCTGTAGCCTCTCTTCGTAGGGCCTGCGCTGCTGTCCCCGATCATGCAAGTGGTCCTCCTCTGGACCCTCTCCATGTTGTCCACATCCCTCCTGAAGTGTGGCACCCAGAACTGGATGCAGTACTCCATCTGCAGCCTGACCAGTGCCGCATAGAGGGGGAGGATCACCTCCTTAACCTGCTTGAGATGCATCTGTGGATGCATGACAAGGTGCAGTTGGCCTTCCTGACTGCGTTCCCACACTGCTGGCCCATGTTCATTTTGGATTCAATAGTGATTCCAAGATCTTTTTCTGCCTCTGTATGGACAAGAAGGGAGTTCCCCAGCCTGTAGGTATGGTGCTGGTTCTTCCTCCCCAGGTGCAACACCTTGCACTTGTCCGTATTGAAACCCATCCTGTTCTCATCTGCCCACCTCTGTAACCTGTCGAGATCTAGTTGTAGCCTGTCCCTCTCTTCTAGCGTGCCCACTTCTCCCCACATATTAGTGTCACCTGTGAACTTGAACAAGGTGCTTTTCACCCCCTCGTCCAAATTGCTGATGAAGATATTG